AGTTGAAGTCGCGGTTCGGGGCCCTGATCTTGTTGCTGAGGCAGTTCCTCGCTCCGAAATTCGCTTGAAATTAAAATCTCCAACTCGGGTACGTGGATCAGACAAATCTCCGGAACGCCCCCAACGGTGGGGAAGATGGAGAGAATGCTGCCGGTGGGACTGGCATCGCCGAATACCGGTTCCCTGTCGCGGTCGGAGATAAGCGGGAATGGGTACGCGCCGTCGCCCAGCTTGTGGCCCCACGAAAGCAGGAGGCGCAGAGGGAGGTGCGAGGCCCACGCGACCTCGTGCGGGTGCAGGAGGAGGCCAAAGAGGAGGGGCGGGGAGGGGTAGAGCGGGGAGAGGTCGTGAAGGCGGTGACACGAGGTGGCGCGCACGTAGAGGAAACCTGACACTCGACAATCGAACCACGACGGACCGCTTGTGGTCCTACTACGCGGGCAGGCTTGAAGCAAGCAAAACCCCTCATCGATCGGAGCTGAGGCCTGAGCGAAGTTAGAAGCTGCAAAGAAGGTAGCGGGTAAGTAAAGCTCACAGGAAAAAAGTGCTTCAGGCCTCCGGTGGTTCATTAGTTTTCACTATTGCAGTCTGCAATCCATAAATCGACATGTAAACCTCGTCCATCATGTGGCCGGGCCACGTAAAATGCAGTACTAGGGTGACACCTCGCACACGCTGCCGTTGCCGCTACTTATAAAGTCCTGTCTCCGAGTTCGTGCTGTGCTTTTACTGCTAAACCACTTTCTTTGTGGCTAACTCGAATGCACCACCTTGAGATTTTAGGTAGGCTAGTGAATTCAATTCGGATGTGTGCACCACGCATCGCTGCCGTCTTCGTAGTCGAATTCGCTTCCGATTCACCAACGGTTTGGCCGGAACCGCATTTGAAAACCTGTGGTTCAGAAACGGTGAGAAAGTCACCGCAACGCTGTTCTACACCCGCCAGCCGATGTACTGTCGTAGAAATTTCACCTCACGTCCCACGGAGAGGTGCTCTTCGTGAAAAAAAAACAGCCCAACAGACCAGAGGAGGAATTAATGCTATCATCGGGATAAGCAGTGGGTAGGGAGAAGAACCAGGCCCGATTTTAAATGAGCGCATCGACACACACACACACAATTGACCTGGTATACACACCAGTACACACGGGAATACTAAACTAACTTATGTGGACGAATTAGCCGAACCTCTTCACCTGTAGCATTGCGCGAGGGCGTGGTTGTGTAATGTTTAACAAAACACCGCGTGGCAAGTTAAATGTTACTCGCGTAGTCGGACAGTTGCGCACCACCATGCCAAAATACTGGGACGGACATTACAGGTATGTGTATATTTCACAGCCTTGTGGCCCTGACTACACGCAATAGAAGAGCACTTGGGATATCAGGCTTGGATTCCGGACACTGGAAAAAGTTGATTTATTGTCAATCGACCAGGAAGAGTAACAAGGAAAAACAGATAAGAAATCATTTCTAATCGCCCCTTGGCAAAGTGGACTTGAACTGGGGCCAAAAATACACAGCGCAATCAATTTTTGACAGCACCTACGATCCACTTGAATAAGTGTGATTTCGAGGGTAAGGACACCAGTGTGTTTTCCGCTGTGTGCGCTTTGCACTGGCTCGGATGAATCAAATGCAATTCCTGAGGCTCTCAACTTTACCATCCCGTAAAATACAATAACAAATTGGTTGAAAAGGCAGAGTAAAACACTCAAAGTACATTGACAGCCGTCTGCACTGAACAGTGGCGCGATCGTAGGTTTACTGGTGAGAACTCACAAAAGGTTGTCATTGTCTGAACTTTCGAATTAGCACGAACCGGAAGGCGAGATTTGGAGAAAAAAAATTAGTGGATGCACAATTTGTGAATATCAACCTGTGGTTTTCTTAGCTTGGGGGTGAGAGAGCAAAGTGTGCAACAAACAGGAAACTCACGTTGGACAAAGGAGGATCTTGTAAAAGCCATTTCATAGAGCAGATAAAACTGCCACAGCGCGTCCAAAGGCGGCAGCGACTCGCAATCGCGCCGGCGAATCAGCAGGCCGACCTCCTCCTGACCCACGGCGTAGAGACCGTGGGAGGCGAAGTACCTGTAGCGGATTGACAGCAATTGCGCCTGAGTGAACCATGCTTACTGACCTGACTGTTATAATGACTTATCTCCTTTTCATTGGTTACTGTTATCAGACGCCTGTCATCCGCTCACTCACGCACACACTAAGGCACACACTTGGCTGGCGTGACGCTAATAAACGGTCGTGTTCTCCATCGTCTCTTGTTCCATTCTTCACGGGTTATCAAGGGCTGTTAACTAGAGGTAGTGCTACAACTCTAGCTACTACATACCACACGGCGCCGCTGCTGCTGGTGGTGTTGTGACAGCCAACGAGGACGTGGAGATTGCGGGTGACGGCGAAGGTCACTGTCCCACCTTGTTCCAGGAGTTGGCTGATGCGGCTTTCAGGGGGTCGCGGTTCCAGGGTTAATTCTGAACAAGCAACACGCTACGTGAATGTGTGAATATCGAATAAGGCCACGCTTTCACTGGACAAAAACGAATTACTTGCCTCTTACACCTAAATTAAGGTGAGATACTAACCGATTTATCTCGTGAATCGGACGGGTTTGTATTCCTTTGCTTATGAACTCATAGGAGCTAGTTAGACAATGAAAAATGAACGATGGAATTATGCACATGGAGCGAAAGTCATAGTTAATACCGAACACTAGGACCTTCCTTTACTAACTCTTGGTTATTATCTCTCTTGATAAAACATCACAGTAATTATTTAACGAGTACAAATGGCGTCAGTAAGGCCTCATCTATCGACGTTTGACGCTTTACTGTGCGATAGTTCATGGTCATCGAGGCAAAGGCGGTTGGTTGCGTAAATCTGCCGGAAAAATCGCTCAAGTAATTTGGGGCAACACAGGACACTGTTCACATTTGCTTGTCCAACAAAAACGTTAGCTAAGAAGCTTCAATTCGAAGCAAAATAACGTTTAAAGAACACGAATAAAAGAGTCCTAGCTGTGATCACCAATAGAATCACTCGACACACACCCTAAGTCGAGCAAAACAGTAGAGCGTGCACAACTAGGCTGAATGCGGTACCGAAACACTTCAATGCATGGCGGATGCGACACTGACCGGGTGCACTGGAGGCCACCAGAGGAGGCCACTTGTTTGTATCGTCGTCCATCGGTATGAGGCAGTCATCTTTCAAGCGGCTGACGGCCAGTTGGGGTGAGTAGGGTCTCCTCTGGATTGGAGGGCGAACTTGAGCAGAGGAGGAAGAGGGCACGGGCAGGGGAGTCGTTGAGATAGGAGGGGATGGGGAGGCCAGAATGGTGGGGGGAGACTCTAGTCGTTGAGACGGCGCCGCAGAAGTATCCGGGGTCTGGTGTCGCCGGCCTTCTGCCAATGGACGGTTAAATGATGTTTATAACGTGTCACTGACATTGAAAAAAACAACAACTACAAGTAGAGGGCGCTTTAAAAACAGTGGTGACAAAACAAGCTTGAAAACTGGCCACCAATGACGCCAGGTAAAGGGGAGGTGGTTTATTATCGGTTGGGCTAAATAAGTCTAACGAAAATCGATATTCTGGCAACAGACCAAACTCAAGGTGACGGACCGGACTCTGGCTACAAGTAACTGACAAAAAGCACAAAATCCAGCTCCCAGATTCACATTTCTACTTCACAGCGGCAGGCATCATTGACAGTGAAAAATACTCCACAACGTCATTTTGGTGAGAGATCTTGAGTACTAGGAATCTCAGGTCTCCTCAGGAATTGTGACTAATTCTGTGAGAGAGGAAATGGTAAGTATCACAGACTAAAGGGAGTCCAGAAAGCACCGTTAAACATTCAGAGAGCCAACGGCTTCAAACTAAAGGGTTTAGCGCTGGATTTCAAATTGACCAAGGCGAACTGGGACGTCTAAGAAGACGGCAAATTTAGCCACTGTAGATGATGGTACAGACGGAATAGCAAAGAAAGAATGAACCGGGCCCGAACACGGTGAGTGTAACATCGGGTTCAGGAGTGGCCCAGATGTCAACGATTGTCCGGACACCTAGGGAATTTACTCCTTTCCAAGTGATGCGCACGTATCCGTTTAGTTCCTCAGTCCTGTCGCAGCACCCACACTGTTTACACGGCCGCATCGGAGTGTGCGCATACCCAATCCAGTCGGTGACTGAGTGTGCACGGCTTAGTGGCACTCCGAAACAACGCATGTGAGTTGATCCGTCTTAACACAAACTAACACGATTCGCTACATTTTGCAAAATCAGTCTATGACCTGATAGCTCAGAAGTTGTTACCTAAACGAGTCCTAATAAGTACGGTAATAGCGAAAAAGTGCAGGTCCGAAATAGCAAAGCTAGTCGAATTTGGCAGTTCGAGCCAGCCTACTTTCATCGCCACCACGCTGCACTATAAAAGGAGAAGCTCGTTTAAGGTGAAGCTTGCGATTGTGAGTTCAGCGTTTCCGATATGCAGGCGGCGCAAGCCTGACCAGAATAGTGCGCTTGAGGTATCAACCAAGTTGACTACAATGAATCACACAGCCGCCGACTGAGAAGCCATCAACTATCAGCCAACTTTCTACCAGTTCAACCTGTTAAATCTAATTTTATACCCCAGATTGAGAAAAGTATGTTCAACCTAGGGGGGAGGCAGAATGAAAATTAACCGAGAGATATTATTTACCACTGGGTAAAACTTTTCAATTACTTTAAAAATAATCCTCAACTCAGTTTTGCAAAAAAATGATGGACTTTGCACGTATGCTGTTTAGTCCCTTAGGCATGCATATAGTCGATTAAACCTCCGTAGAAAACGGAAACTTAGCTCTGCAAACAAACAACTACTAAAAATCAGCTACTACCCCAAAACACCATTAGTCCATGAGGCTCTAGATAGACAAAACATTCACGCTAATCCAGCTTCTAGTGCGTGACAATTTCATCAAACCAAACGAATTATTTCATGGGCTTTCAGCGTTGAAATTGCCACTTTCAAATAGCTCACGGGTATTGCCGTCGTAGCTGGCAGCATTAACTAGGTTGAAGCAATCATTGCAGACACGGTGGAGGCGTGTTTCGGCACCGTCATTGCTGGGACTTGAACTCGACACCAGTCTGATGAGACTGGGTTCTGTCGAGCTGGTGGAAGATGCGGAGAAGGTGGCGGGCAGAGGGACACGGTGTGGGGTGCAGGAGGCGCAGAGAAGACGCCCGCAGGCCCTGCAGTGGTGTCGACGTCGAAGCATCGTGAAGCGAGTGCCGCAGGACATGCACACAGGGGAGCTGCCGTCTGCAGCCCATTCAGGCGGGTCCCGAGCTAGAACCGAAAACGATGAGGGTGGGGCGTCGGGCGAGCCTGTTTTCGTCAGGCCTCCGCTTCCTACAAGACGAATTTTGCCACCACATAAAGAAACTATGTAGCTGGCTAAAAGTGGAACGAGGCAACCACATACTCTTACGGCTTACAAAAATACCAATTACCATGTCAACAGAAATCGTGCGTTTGATTTCAAATCTATACACTCCAGGTTAATTTCTAAATCATTAGATGAGTAGTGAAGGCTAGAGAGGAAAGGGTTCATTCGCCATCCCAAACCACGGCTTAAGCCAGGTTTTTTGGGTTGCCGAGACGAATCTCGGTTAAATTTCTCGGTAAGGCACCCAGAAAATTCTCACTACTGTACACGCCTTTCCAGTCGCCTTAATAGCAGTCATTGTTGTTCAGTTGTTAATAGGAACAAATGGTCTACCCTATTGATTTTCGATCCATGATTTGTGCCTTTCTAAGCAGCCTCGTGTCAGGATGGAAGCTTAAAACGACATCATTCGAAGGTGGAGATACACGATGTGCTAATGCATTGCCTAAAAGTGATACAAAACGCCCTCATCACTGAGAATCACGATACTCACTGAGTCCGATTATAAGCAGGCACGTTTATAACGATTTCACCTTAGCAAAATACGACCTATTTACGGTTACAAACTAGATATTTGCAATCGGAAAATGGTTGTTTTGTTTGTCTGCATTATAGCATTATACCTGCCACGTTTGCGGGAATTCACTCAGCAAAGCTAGGAAATATTTGGGTTAAGTGTATTGCGTTAATTGGAAGACTGGGGTGAGGGAAAGCAGCACCATAGCATGTTCTATTAATTAAGAGGGAACATTGAACACAGATAGTTTGCTGCCACGTACAAAGGAAATACACAACATTGATAAACATACCAGGAGTTTCAATGGGATAGTTCTGGTCCTCACACATTGATGGGCCAGACTCGGCGAGGCGCTTGTGCTCTGTTACCGAACTGTGAGAAGGACCGCCTATATTAATAACGTGGCTTTCACCTTCAACGACCCGTGCGACTTCCCCAGCCTCTTTATTGCAGCTTTGTCGCTCCGATTCCCCTAGCATTTCCTCAGCGGCGGGCTCCTGGATTGTTCCCATAGTTTCCACGACACTTTCCATGGTAGACATAGGCATTTGGTTAGTGGAGTCTAAGTAAAATACAAAAGTTAACAGACAACCAGCACCAGTATTGTGCAGCTAAAACATGTACACACGGAGAAGAGTGGGGTGCTTGGTCCATTTAGCACAAAAGGGGTTGTCTTTACTGCTTGTGAGTCAACGAATTAACCCATTTCTGGCCAGTGCTTCGATGAAATCCAAATGCTCAATGAAAACTTCCGTGGACTGTCAAAAAAGTCACGGTTTATCAGTGAACTGATTTCTGCATTGGGGCGTATGTCATGGGATTGTACTAATGTCTGGTGGCGCAATGCGACCACCGTAAAGTGAAAAACAGGTACGCTAATAATTGTCGGTCATAATACCAGAGGTACTCATGCGTGACGAAGTGTAGGGCGATAGACATGAAATGATGCATTCAGCATTCGCCTGAATGACTTTCTGTTATAAGATATAAAAACCGATGGCTATATTCTCAGGCAATGCCTTTGCTATATATCCGAACAACCAGATAGTAGTGTATAATCATATAACCAAAATATAATTTTAAAGAAAATTAAATCGATGAATTAGAAAGTAAGGACTTCTAAAGAAAAACAAACACAAATACAAACAGTGAGATAAGTAGCGATGAATAAAGTCTAATTGCATTTGGAGCACAAACATTAGAAGCAATGTAGAACACGCTACCTTCAAAATCGCACAAAGCCTCCGAAAATATTTGCGCCTTGGTTGTTGATGAATTTTCGTATTGCGTGGCAGAAACCGTTTCTAGTAAACGCGCAGTTTCGGTTCCAGATAATTCGATCTTTTTAAATATAGGAGTCAATTCAGAAAGACAGCACTGCGATTTCTGTTCGCTAGCAAGGAGTTCGGGAAAAGTGGCACTTTCCAGTGTAAAGCTCGGATTTTCTAGATCAGTGGAGGTGCCAGGCTCTTCATCCATGGCAGTCGGTGCTGATTTACAATCACTGACTGCGTTAGTAGAGCAAAAAAGTGCATTCTGGTAGGGCACCTTAACCGTCTCTTCAACAGGCAATTGCATCTCGGAGAATACGTTTCCATCAAGCTTTGACTTGTTACCATGAGGTCTGGATTCTGCAAAAATGGTAAATGTTACTGATTGGCTCGTAGTTGCAGCTTCAATATGACTATCGGGTTTTCTTAAACCGGCGACATCAGACAAGTCAGGATTATTTTGGTGCTCTGATGAACTAGAACACACAACCTCTCCATCCTTTAGATTCTGACAAGGCTTTGCCACGTGGACATCATGAATGTATCTTGCTTGCCTGGTTTCAGGATCTCTTTCAAAAATACTTTCAGAACCTGCAGCAAAACGAGGAAGGGTACATGCAGCCGAAATCAGACCTGGCTACACAATCTTGTAACTTGTAAGAGGTAGTTCTTCGCATTTTATAAGCTGTAGTATAAACTAAAACTAGCAAACCTATTAACTGCAAACAAATAGAATAAATAAACGATTATAAACAGTTTAAATGTCACAGAGACAAGACGCAAAATTATCAAAGTAACAATGGATACTCAGTTAAAAACCGAGTGAAAATCTTTATAAATGTTCTTCAAAAACACTTAAATTAACAGGCACAATCCGATAAGAGCTGGTAGTTCATAAAAGGCTAGGCAAAGGCAATCACACTGGCAGGGTACAAACACTAACTACAGCCAACCTACTGTCAACACCCCGCGTCCATAAATAGAAGGCACCAAAGACATGGCAAATTTTAATATATATGGCCCAGCAAATTCGGTTACAAGATGCAATAAATAAAAAACAAGAGTACCAACCAATCAAAGAAACACGGACCAATTTGAGATTTTTCAAAGTCGTCAAGTAGCTTGTCAAAGTCCACCAGAGGATTCATTTAGCGGCAACACCACTTAACATCACAGAATACCACAGCCCAGAAGGTTTGTATAACGCATCTTGGTGAGAGACCCAATAAAGCGGAAGAAATGACCAGAGAATTCATGACAAAATCTCTGTTTGATTTGCGTAATCTTAAAAAATTATAGTTACACATATAAGTTGTGAAAGAAATAGGTAATGATAATCACAGACAGCATGACAAAAATAATTTTGAGTCGCAAAAAGTAATAATCAAGTTCTTGAAGCAGGCATTAAATAATGTATATTAATATTCCTAAAAAACTAATAAAGGGAAAGTGGTAACTCCAAGAAGGCAATATTGGAAATAACGTGGACTGTTTACCAACGTTGAAATATTCAACTTAAATTTATGCTTAAATTTGTGTTTTAGGAAAACATTAAATAGTATTTTTCACTTATAAGAATTAAAGTTAATGTTTTATAGCACTCAGAAGTAGTAAACACTAGTTTCGAGACAGAAAATTATCGAAATTCCTCATAATGCATATCAACGTCTCCATATTACGTTTTAAAGATCCCGTGGTGTCTAAAGCGATGGAAGATACTCTACGTCTCATAAATGTAAAATCGGTTTTGAAAAGGAATAAATGCATCAGTTTTATTCAATCTTAATTGCTTATTTTGATTGAAAATATCAAGACTTCTCTCTTTCGTCTTTAAGAAACCAAGGCTTCTCTAATGAATAACCCATCGAAGTCGCATACAGTGTTTTGCCTCTCAAAAGAATTTTGGCAAAAGGAAAGATGGTTGACTGTTGGTGAACGAGACTGATTAAAGAATATCAACAATTTGAACTGATGTAATTGATAACTGATTTTAGTGGCAACCGGTAAAAATTCTCAATCACATTTACAACAAAACCTTTAAATGGTTAGAAAAAGTGATTAGCTGTATCCGCGGCGGCTTTTTTCATGTATTCTCGGGTTTGTGTGCATTTATTACTAGGGTTTTACGGTAGCTAAAGCGAATAACTTTATGTACGCTGCGAAGATCCGAATAGTAATGTACGTAATCAGAATAAATTAAATGCTCACTGCAACGCAGTTTATTTGAATGCAAACACAGATGGAAATTTCATCCATCATTAGCGGATCCTATATTAGATCCTATTATGTTTACTTAACCATGTGCAAGAGGTAAGCTTTAAAATGACTAGCTTGAATGCACACGGTTTCTTAATATTAAAGTGCACTACAAGCAATAGATTTCGCATAAAACGATGAATTGTTTTCGAATCTGCAGCTTTCTGCTCTTGTTTGGTTTATCTGAATTTTTAAGCGGATAATTCAGAAATAGAGGGCTGGGGTGTACTTGTGTGCAATAGATTTGAAATGTGGTGTGATGCTAAACCTATAAGTCGCATTATTTTACTTACTACACATGTTACAATAATTTAAGTTTGCGTGGGAACCTAAATCTTTTTTGGAGCAACTTTAATTTCTTGAACTCATTTGTCTTGCTTATCGCATCTTTAACAGCTGTGTTGATTTTTTCAATAGATGGACCATCAAATTTTAAGAAATGCTTGTAGTGCCTATTAATCATTAACGTTTACTTATTTCTAAGTTTTACCAAACAAGGTGAAATCATAAAAAAAGCCTAAAATTCTTAAATCGCAAAGTCCATATGAACTATTCAAATAATTGCCAATGACTTTTCTTTTACGTTGGTGGATGTGGCTTATTTGTTTGTCGTTAAATTCAGATAACTGTAAAAATACTCGTGTCTTATTTGTTTCTGACTCATTTTCCGGTCATTGATTTTAATAGAGATTGATAATTTTTTGATCATAAATTGTACTTTGTTTGCTTTTACAAATCCAAATAACACATATAGACAGCTTCCTTTGCCTCAGCTAAATTCGAAACGAATCGGTAATTCGCTGATGCCTTAGCTACTACTTGCACTAGCGCTAAACGTGAGGCCCTAATTTTTCGTTCCCTGCATCGAGACTAAGTCCTGATAATGCAAAACCATGTTCAATCTACTATACATTTTCGAATTGCGGATAACTTTTCCCTCTGAAACACTGGCTGCAACTATCGTTGTGTTCTATAGCTCTTCTTAGATAAGACTGATGAGTATTCTTCGAAATCTAAAGCTTTTCTCTATTTTTTTGCTTCTAGAATTTCGCCATTTTCTTATTTATTCTTTATCTTTTATTCTTATATGCGTGTTTATCGACCACCACCTACTACATTACCTGAACCCAACCCTGCAGTATATAGGTTCACAGATGCTGCATGAGAGCATGTTGATTGCCACTATTTGCTTCGTTATTTTACTTTTTCCTCCGTTGTGAATGCAGGAGAACAGTTGACTAAGACGTATCGTATAGCCTCACTCCTCATTGCGTACTTCAAATACTGCTAGATTTATGTAATTCTGATACATCTTTCTATTATCTCTATGTATTACAGGGGTTCATTCAGTGTTGTTTACTCCCTTCCATCAAAATCAAGGCATCGGTGCTCCAGCAAGATATTTTACATGTGTTCACAACTATTACGTTTGGTCTTGTGCTGCTAAACAACCGCTGATTGCATTTGTGAATAAAAGTTTGCCATTTCGTTCACATTTAGTGCATTTAATGGGCAACAAAAAGTTCAGTAAAGTTGGACAGCCAGTATATTCTTGTATCCGCCTTGCGGAAGGCCCGTTCCGAAATTCAACTTCTTTTTATACCTGCTGCTGGGTTTCAATAACGTCGTCAGCAGACTTAAGCGTTATAGAATTAATGTTAAATTATTTGATACAATTTTTAGCATTTTGTCAACTTTTACATTTCTAGGTTTTAGGGCTGCCCTTTTTGACGCTTATCCTCTTTACTTGCCTTGGTAATGAAGGCGACCCGTAGTCTCTCGAAATACTGGCAGAAAACGGTGTCTGGGACCCAAAAATACACCATAGCGCCTGATTTTCACCAGAAAATGGTTGCACTTAAGCAGGGTGTTGTCTCCTCTAAGTCTGACCCAGAAATGCCTTCCAGGGCCGCCCTCCGTCAACACAAGTACTACTTTAGTCTCCCTCCATTTTGTCTTCCTGACCAATTGGATCAAGCAGCTACTGACTACCTCCGTGAACACAGCCTCTATTCTGTGAAGCATCTCAGTCAACTATCAACTCGCTTAGTCAACTATCTCCACGAAAGAGAACTTCTCTCTGAAGTTGGTTATCTCACCGCTTACATGAAGTCAACTTGTTTTTTTTTCTTTAGAGAGATATTGTTGAAAGGATTAAACGAAAAAAGGGTACCCAAACTCCTGATGACTTGCCTGAGACCGAGGACGTTGATCCGGGTATCGAGTCGGTTCTCCAGTACCACCTCGACGCGCCCTTTGTTGGGGCTGACCGAGCGGTGCGGGAAGAGCAACAGGCTGATCTTTCAGCTTGGAAGTCACTGACGCAAGTCATTTGTGTACTTGTTTAAAGGTGTCTCGTTTGTTTAGGTATACAGAGGAAAATAGTCAACTTTACCTGGTTGGAAGATTAGCACCAAACTTTGCCGTGGCCTGCCGTGTGTTGTATGAACTTCGCAAACGATGTCCGCTTTTCGTTCCCCATTCGTTTTTCGACTTTGCTTCAGGGCTGGGCACATACACCTGGTGAGAATCGCTCTCTAACGCTTTTTTTTTATTTCTATAGCAAATTTTCCTTAAATATTACAAAGATTTGCGTTCCTCTGATGAATCCTTTCACAAGGAGGTACTTTTGTCCACCGAAAAACTTAATTTTAGACTGACTCGTGCAAGTGCGACTGTCCACAACTCTTAATCAATTGCAATTTTAGGTGGTTTTTACGAAGCGGATTTGGGGAACTACGTTTTTTACACCCAGAATTTGCTGTGTTAGGGCTTTGCTTCGCTTGGAGTACACAAATCTCAAACTGTTTCAGTATCCGCTAGTTTTAACTTCGTTTATCAACAACTTTTGTCACCGATCATACCTTTAAAGTGTGGAATATGGCGGAAATGAGCCTTCAAGCACACGAAAACATTCGTGTTTAGGGGGATTGTCTTAAAGTATGCAGCCACGCGTATGGTTGTTTAATGTTTGCATAAGCTTCATCTTTACATAATCTTGTAATTTGACACCTCGTATAATCATAACTGTCGGATCCATTTTAGTTAGAGGCACTTCACTAACCTGTTGCTTATTCTGTTTCCCCCACGTACAGTCGCTCCTGCAAAAATTGGGAAATTTGCAATGGGCTACCGCCCCTATCTTGCGAAGGACTGAGTTTAGTTTATGCTTGCACAAATTAGACCTGCGGTATTCTAGAACTCTCAACGTTTAAACGAAGTCATTCATAATTGAGTTGCATCTATTTAACTTCTTCTGTTTGAATTTCATTTTAGGGTGGTCAATACCGTCTGGCCAGCTGGGTGTATTCGTGGGCACTATCTCGTAGAGGCCTCTAGGCCCATGACCTCACTGGCCGAATTCCTTTTGTCTGTACGCGGCCAAGGAATCGCTCCGGGCACCACCGTCTTTCCGGGTGTACATCATCGTAGGTTTATGCCATCTACTGAGGTAGGCTATTTCCCATTTCAGTCAACATTTCGCATGTGTTTCTGATTCAATGGCATTGTGTCGTAATTCCTTTAAACTCAGTGACGCCCCATACTTTATACCCATGCTACGTCAAGAGTACCACAACGCCTTCTAACCTATTCTTTTAGGTGACTGCAGATTTGGTGATGTCTGGCTATGCCCTGTTGGAGATGGCTGGCGAAAGGGATCGGCGGCGTGTTGTGGAGAATTTGTGGGCTCGCACTACCGGATTTCTTGTTCTCATAGAAGAGGGAACGAAAGCTGGACATTCTGCACTGCTTGAGGCACGGGATTGGTTGGTACGTTTTCTTGGGTTTGACTTGCCACCTGAGTACGTAGAAGGCGCTCATCTATCTGTCTGTCCGACAGCCAATACGCGTGACGAGTTAGGTGGTGGTTCCGAATTATGGAACCTTTCTGACGAGCATGCGACTGCTGCGTAGATGGTGACCCAAGTCAAATACGTCTCAGACCTGGCGCTAACTGAGGCCGTTTGGTTTGTGCTGCACGGTATATTCATCTGCTGCTGAACTAAAACGAAGTAGCTTATAGGTAGTTAAATAACCTCGTAGGTTATTCGCTAGCACATATGATAACAAAGACTGCTACCTTGGCCACTAGGACCTTAACACGTGACACCTGCTAGAACTCGACCTATAGAGTATGAGGAGAGAACTGCTTACCTCTAGGCCGTGCTGTCAAACGCCTTAACGCTGTAGTACCAGCAATTCGTATCTCCTACTGTAATTTATAGGCAGATTGTTCACTGTGGTCGATACACGTTGGCTTCCCCGTAAATTCTGTTCGATGGCCCTCAAGTCATATTTGGAGATTCAATGTCCTCCCGATACTTGTGTCGTTCTTTTACTGTCCACATTCTTTATTTAAGGATCATTCAAGTAATACCCAGCTTTTTCCAACATACCTGCACTGATAATTACTGTAAGCTTAAAAAACTGCTATTCAGATTACAATGTATATCAAACTCGCTCAATAAACCTTATGTATTGGGTCCAAAATCTGTCGTAGAAAGAGAAGGACTCAAAATAATCAGAGATATTTTCAAAATTGTATAGCCCTATTATTCCTTCTAGTATAATTTATAACTTGACAACAAGGTTAAGACAAAGATAACGAAGAGTGTGCAAAGGGCACCAAAATGCTCGCATTGGTAGTACAAGGGGCATCCACACCGACTAACATTCTCATTTTGGTGGGCGTGCTCAGACTTGGTGGGTACTTGTTGATGGAATATGACACCGTCGTGGAAACAAAACGCGGCTGTTCCATCCATGCCTCCATGTCGAGATCCCTTAATAAAGCCGGAAGCTGCAATAGCCCTGAATGCTGTCTCTGGATGTTTGGCAGTCGTTATAGGGTCCCCGCTAATTGGCTACGCATTCGGATTCATGTGCAGGGGCGTCAAAGTGCATCTTCGTTTGCCACGCAACTGGATCGGGTTACATTGACGCGGGAAGGATCACTGTAAAGTTTAGTGGCGGAATTTGGCTAGTCGTTCAGTCCGCGGATCGCATTTTTTGTACGCTGGCTCCATCGCGACACACGCGTTGCCGTTTTGTCCCTAGCATTGATTGAAACTGGGCTAATTTTTACTCGCCATTGTTTTTTTTTAAAATTCAGATTCAGAGTGGCAATCGCAACGGTAGAGACGGGGAGGAACTGCATATATTTGCTCCAGCAAGTTCTAGTTTAAAATTTCATTAAATACTTGCAAACTTTGAAGTCCGGCAGCTAATTTTGCGCTCCTATGCTCGGTTTTAAAGTACTTGGTTGCTGTTTGAAACTGAGCGTCCTATCATCCTCGTTTGCAGTGTCCCCACAGTCAGACGTGCGGGAAATCGGGTATCGGATGCAGCTCAAGCGTCCGATATTATAACTTCGGTCTTACCAAGGTAAGCCCTAATTGTTTGGCATAACCAAAATCCCTTAATGTTGTCTTCCTATCTACAGATTTCAGAGTTTGTTTGGTTAGCTAGTCTCTAATGCTAAAGAAGCTGCTCAATGCAAATGCAGTTATGGTACTTCTACTTTCTGTGTAAATCCATACAGTAAATTCTTACTGTCGCCTGTGTGAAGCACTTATTTTCTGCGTGCCTTTAAAGTATTGCATTTGCCTTCGCGTTCGCAAGCCGTTTGGCCTTATCAGTAACAAACTGAACCAGATTCAGTTCCGGTTCATTATCACTAATCAAAGTTTTGCCATTCTAGAGGTTTTGTTAATCTTGAAATAAATGGCGTATTGGTGTAAGTTTGTGCAGTCATTTTCTTGCATTGTTTTCGTGACACAGGGTGGTTCCATTGCGATTTGACAATTCCGACCCTTTTGCCTTTGTCTTCTCAGGCTTCATTAGTCATTGTTCGTAAAACATCCAGATTGTTTGGTACCTTAGAAACAGTTGAACTACTTGACATATTCGCTATTGCAATGAATTCACGTAGCAGAACGTCTAAATTCCTTGTCGAGCTTATATCATTTTAGGCTACTTTGAGTTATTGTATATGACACACTTAACTTCGACATGTCCTCGCACTTATCCTGACGATCCGATTCAATTATGGCTTTAAACTTAACTGGGGTAAATTTAGCGCAGTGGTCCCGACGTGTTTTAAGCCAACACATTGCGGCCCTCAAAAATTGGTGAGCCCGACGTTGAACGCATACCAACCTTCGACTAGCCGACAATTGGCGACTTTCCGGTACGACCTTTGTGGCGTGAAATTCCGTCTTACGCTGCAATTGAAAAGTCAAGCCTGAAGCTCATAGTGGATTGCGTTGTTGATTCACGTTCATCCGTTTCGTCGCCGCATTCCCCAACTCACTGCCCCCTTTTCACGGCATGCCTGTCAGCCTTGCGGGACCGTCCGCGCATAATGCGGACGAGACCGACGGCAAACGTCCCAGGCCGTGTTGGCACGCACCGACATTCGTAGTATTTACCGCCAATCCAGTGTGTTTGGCAGCTGTACGAGGCAAACGAGTTGTTTTGATAATTTAGCATATGCTTCCTTAGCCGAAAGTGACTTATGAACTTCGAAGAGTGAATGATGTAGATACCAGAGTCCAAATTGGCAAAATCAGCATCAGAACAGGGTCCTGATGCTGATTTGCCCCAAGACACGTTATCCAAAGTGGCCTTTATCTGTCGCTCTTCTTAGGACCCTGCCTATCCCTCGAGTGAGCGCTTCAGCTACCTTGTCGTTAGCCGTGGTGACTGGCGACGTTACTCAAAAGAGCCCGAAGGAAGGGATCTTCACCCCCGAATAGTTTCTTCAAGTCCTGTCGGCAAGGGTTCGGCTTTTGATGTCGACCTCTGTCTTCCTAACGGCGAATGCGAACGAGTTGCCTTCTCAAAATCCGGCACCCATCGGTAAGTTGCTGCCTTCAGACCTTCCGTTCTGATAAATCAAATAATGTGGGTGCCAACTACAGAAATTCGGAACTGTGCTGTCGAATTCGGCACGAGAGTAATACTACTGCCATCTCCTTCCCTTCAAACGCTTAACGGTGCGCCGTAGAGTTGTTATATTCCGTAATCTCAAATAACTATTTAAACCTGCCTTACATGAGGCTCAGATCTGAATTTGAACTGGCATGAATCCCATCGTGGTCAAATGTTTGCTACCATCACGTCTGGGTAAATAAAACTGCTAATACTTTTATCTAACCAGTATCTACCTATCAGTGTCAAACAGTCATTCAATGTTGTGTTGTTTTTATTACCTAAATTTGGAATTTTTAAATCCTGGGTGTAAACTCGCATTTGGTCTTACTTCCTTTTTCCCTGGTAGTTCGCTGACTTAGTTCAATTGTTTTAATTTGTAAGGTATTTCCTAGTTTGTTCGCCACCGATATTGATGCGCTAAAGGCCAGACAAACTCGCGATCTCCACTTGCCTTGCTCTTGGAGCCTGGGATGCCTTGCTACTTACAAACATATTTTGAAACTTAGCTACCAAAACAACTTTTTTTTACCGTAATTAGTTTGCCGACTGAGAGTTTTAATTTGAGGTCATCCAGTAGTCTTCTAATGTGAAGCTACCTGTAATTGGGTGAGTACACATACGACGAGATGCAGAAACGTGCGTACTTGTATTGTTGCACTCCAGTTACGACAGATCGTTTGTTTACTACTTGACAATTGGCTTTCACCTCGTTTGTATTATTGTAGAACACTCTACTTTTTCCTAAAGAATGCACGGGCGGGAGACATCGCTCCTTGCGAACGAACCGAGGAATGCAACGAAAATAACATTGTTGAAGAGAAATCAGGCATAGAATAACTGGAATATCCCTGCGATTGTACAGAATTACCACACATATATATTGTACTGAATGACAAGTTTTTCGTACGCACTTTGACACGCGTTTGCGATCTATAGCTAAATAGACGCCTAATATGGAGACAACGGGAACCGATTGGTCGTATTCACTGTCAAGTTACATGTGACGCATAAGCAAAACCCACTCAGGCTAATGACCATGAAGGTATTCCTTTGTGAATATAAGATTTCATTTACAATTTGTGCTTCTTAGGAGTCTGTACAAACATCCTTATACGAGGATACCCTAACATGACGTCTGGGTGTACAACTGTATTTGCCAAAAGTGGATGTTGTACTTGTCGAAACGTGCACACGCGTAAAAGGCGATTCCAAGTTACTGTCCCATGTCTCTACATTTCGTATAAAGTATTAAAGTGTTATTAGGTGTTACCATAATATATTGGCAACAAAAAGACTTAACTTGATACATATCACAAATAAAAAAGGCAGAAATGAACATAGTTGTGAAATTTTCTTTGAAGTACTTCGGGTGACCCATGGATAACGTCCAGACTTACATGCTGGGAGTGTTAAAAATGTGAGGAAAGGACGTGAAGTTCGAAAGATCTGTGACAAATTAGTCACTGGAAAGGAGACTTAAGGCTTGCTTTAGGTATTCGATCGCCGAGTCGCGGTCTTTGTACTGAAGGCTGCTGATAGCAAACTTCGCAGCTTTTGATGCCTTTTCACATGTTTCAGTAGACAAATCAAAGTTCTTGCCAGCCGGGTCAGTCGTGGAAGCTGCAGGTTTTGGTGATAAATGTTCAGGTTGATGAGAGGCACTTTCAGGCAACGATGCATTGTCCGAGAGGCCGTCAATTTCTACAAAAAACATCAAAGTAGGAACGAACTCATAGTTATACTTGGAACTGAAGAAGCATCGCCTTCTTTCAGAGGTCCGGCAGTGGGCTGTTTACCACGTTTTTTGCAGTCAATGATGTGAACTACCTTGAATTTGGCATACTTCCTCGCGTTTGTTATCTAGAAACGTGAGACAATGTGTTTTGGGTATACTTCTTCTTTGGTTTCTCCATTTAGGGTAAGAACCTCAAAAAGATACCCAGCTACTAAGAACGCGTTTACAGTAGCTCTGAAATTAAATGACAATTATGGATAACAACGCATTACGCTCCAAAATCGCCAGATTCATCTTTTTTAAAGGCCAACGTGAACAGATCTAAGGCCTTGTTCTGAACATAATCCAGCCCAACAGACTCCTCTGTGTATAAGGGGTCTTCTGAGTTAGTTTTTTTGGCAGCTGTAAGGAAATCCAGCAACTTTGTTATAAAATCCCTTGATTCCTTGCAATTGTATTCAGGCTTAAGGCCCATACTTGCAACATACAGCCGGCCTAATCATTAGACAATAGCAAAATTACAATAGTAAGTAATGACTGGATCTGTATTTTCATAATCCTGCGCAATTTTGCATATTCGCGCAAATTTCTTTAAAGGTTCCGGTGGAGTAGCAAGTACCATTCGTTATACACAGCCAAAAGTGGACTACAAGTGACCATACTACGAATATCACCACATTTACGCGATACATTAGTGTCAATAAAGCTAAAACGACATCAAAGTCATAAATGCAAAAATCTTCGAAATACAATTAGGCACATGATTTATTTATTTCTAAGACCTTACTAAATTAAAAAAGTTACACCAAACATCACTAAATACAAATAAATAAAAAAGAGATTCCAGAAATCAGTCAGACACAAAATTCACCCTATTTATATTCTGTTCAAAAAGTAAACAGGTCAAAGTCCTTAATAATAAAAAATACACACGAAAACTAATCAAATGGTAGGCTGGAAGGAATGCTAGATACATCATAAGGACATTTTGTTTAGCGAGACAACACCGCAAGCATTTGGTGTGTTTGATGTAAAGCTTTTTTCAGTTATAATTGCAGTCTTAACTCCACAACTTGAATCAAAAAATTGTTTAGCACTTTTTCAAAACACATTGGTTGATTTTCGGGAGTAAATACTTCACATCTGCGGCGCATCTTTAATTGAACAGCTTACAGGACTGATAGTCTCAAGTACTTGTCCAAATTAAGCACCACCTGCCACTGGCTGCTGCAAGTTGTAGACATTGCATGTGTCCTTAAAGCAGTGTCCTGATTGGCGTCAGATTAATATATTAACTGTAGGTTAGTTTCCTGTTAACGTGGTCCAGATGACCTGCTGTTGTTACTTACATCTCCAGTTATCACATGGATCAGATGCCAGTTCTTGATTTTCTTAGCAATGTCACCCAGATTGGTAATTTGCCACATAATTAAAGACTGACTGTGTTTTGTCCAGACGCTTCGCCACCGCATAGTCTTTCATCACGCCACTCATGGCAAGTGTAAGAAGTAAACCTGCTGCTGCATGTTCGACGGCAGTGACGTCATCACAAGCAATGAAGCGGTTACAGATGACGCAAGCCCCTTCCAATGACCCCACTACGGTGGCCATCACTTGTCCACTCTGTTCAACAGTGTTGCGGTCAAAATCGCTTTTCTTGCATCACCTCGGCACGGAGCACGAGGATTCGTTTTTTGCGGTCTGTAAAACTTGTGCGCAGTGTTTTGCGCCCCAAGAAATCAACGCCCACGTGGCCTCGTGTAAGGGGACTTATATATGTTCCTATTGTCGTCAGACGTTTGCCCTTCTGTCTTATCTGAACAGGCACGTTAGCAGAAAGCATGCCATAGATCAGAGTAAAGTGCAGGGTGGGAGGCGCTACTCATGCAAATTCTGCTCCAAAACCTACTCCTCCAACAATTCCCTGAACAACCATATGAAAAAGCACCTGGAGTGCGTTTGTGGCGTCTGTGGACACGCCATCGTTTGCGAGTCGCACAAAGACTACAGCACGTGCGGAAATTGTGGAAATCGGGTTGCCTTTAACAACCGTAAGTCATGAATGTGTGAAGGAATCTATGTTCTTGATGCAGATTCTGGTCTGGTTGTATAAAGCATCTCTAGGCAATGTACGCTGACGAGTTATCAGCTGATGCGAAATGTTTTTTTTTGGACCAGTTGGCCCCAGCTAGCTTTCTCCGATCGTGAGCACAATTCGAATGTTGTTTTACCACGACCCATAGGTGGTTTAGTCCCTTGAAATTCACAATCAGTACAGTGTTGTAGTAAACCACTTAGTAGCATTAATTGTGCCTGCTACGACGGACGGGGAGTTTTGCGTCAGTGATTGCAATGTCGGACCAGAATAAGCCAAAATGTGTACCTTGTTTATTGACTCGTCGCAACACTTGCTTCCTTGGTCGAAGCGTCGAGCGAGGTTGTGGACACTACGGGTTACAGGGGTATTGTTTTGGATTGTATCGGATTGTAATTAGAATTGGGTCTGTCAGCATCGAATACATGTGTTGAATCCAAAATGTCTTGTGCCAGTGTCAGCTTCGTTAGGGTTGGCCTCGCACAAACGATTTTTTCGTAGAATATTTGGCAGTTAAGTTGGCATTATTGACACCACGCATATTTTCTTTGCGACTCTCCTAGCTCATTACCTCCTGCATTTGATCGCGTTCGTGGGGTTTGATTTGTCGAGAAATTACGATCAGGTGGAAGCGTTGCATGATTCTACCGCGATTTCACCTAAGGCTCTTTATTAAGGTTTCCTCAACACTTTCGAATAGCTCAATATTCAGTTGGAAATATGTTCACACCACCCAACCAATCTTTGCTATTGGCACCGACACCCACTTAGAAATTTCACGTAATTCTCTCAACGGGCGAGTTTAACCACTGTTCACAAAACTATGATTAACACATAAACCACTGACTAAAACAGTTTTAAAGGGCACTCGAAAGTACGATGCGTTGACACTGGCAGACCACACTAAAGAAGCAATCAACAGCGACTCTGCAATGATTGTTTATTTCGCCAACATGGTAAATGCAAGGCGATTGTGCTAGTAGGCACTACTAAAAGTGATACAAAATTTGCAGGCGGGGCGAAAGACAACTCCTCGTCTTCATGCTTTGTAGATTGGAGCACAGAGACAGAGAAAGACGCAAAGGGAGTCTGAAGGACGCAGTACAAATACGTTGCAACGATACACACAAGAGGAGGTTGATAGGGGGATCGGGACAGCTCTAGGACGTGGGAATGGAGTCTAGGTGGTAGTAATAATAATCCAATTAAGGTGACAGAGTAGCTAGTGATCGATAAAAATTGATTGAAGTTGCGTTTGTGTACTTTGACTAGGGGCAATAGATAAAATTGATTGTCAGTTGTAGTGATTTGGGGTAACAAGTTCAAAGTAGCTCCGTTGAGGCTCCCTCATAAAGAATGGAGTGCAGCAAACTGATGTTCGGGGAAGAGGAAAGACACAGGTAGGACTCAGTCTGCATCCAATCCTAAGTACAAAACACGCTTGATTTAGTAAACGACAAAACGATTTTTGAAGGCACTTAGGATAATTACACCTTCATGGCGGCCAGGAAATATCAGCCTTGGGTCAAGTCGAGGCCAAGGTCACAATGACTTGGGAATCAAAAGGATGCATGAGCATAAAAATTCTGTTTAAACGTGGTCTAAAGATACCGAAGGCAAAGAAAATTTTACGTCATGTGGAACCCACGTAACAGCTAACACAAGACATGCATAACTTACGCACTTCGATTTCAACTAACAAAATTAACTTATTATACATATTTTTGATAACACCGAAGGAATAAAAGTTACCAAAACACACGCGCGAACAGAGAACGCATTAATACGAGCTTGTGCACATAAGCAGACACTCACTTCTTCGGTGAAAATATCGCAGAAGTCAGACGGTGCAGAGCAGTCAGCTCTCGGCTTGACAACGCAGCTGGACGCCGCAGGCGGCGGTGGTGGAAGAAGTGAGGGCGCATGAGCGGCAAGATGCTTTCGAAAGCACGTGAGTGAAACGTACAGACGTTGACAGTAAGGACAGGAGTACTGGGCGACGCGTTGGTTGGCAGAACCTGTCCTTGTCTTACCTTCACAGCCAGTCATCAACACCTCCATCCCTACCTCGTTCTCGTCACCTCCTCCGACTAGAGAGCAAAAGCAAACATGCGATAATTATTGACCGGTGACCAGATTTCTACTGAAAACAACCAAAGGACGAGGTATGTGCAACGAGGCGTATACTCTTAAGGATAAATACACCCCATTAAAACATCTAGATGCACCTCATTTCATCTGAAAGATAAGCCATGTACGGTGAGGTTGGATCCTTAAGGTTAATCTCAAAATAAACGGCAACATGACACAAAAGTTTGGTTAACGTCGATTTCACACAACTACCAAGACCCAACACTAGGCACAACCAATCACTGACAATCGAAATCACGGCTGCTACAACTTGGTGTGACCACCCCTCATGGGGAAATATTACATGTCCATCAGATTAATGCAGATCGCACCATAGGAAACTGATCACATGTGGGCGGTAATGAGCTAGGAGAGTCGCAAAGAAAATATGCGTGTGTCGACAAGAGAGTAAATTAAAGGGCTATGGCGTCGAGCCTGATCCTTACTGCTAACTTTTGGAATACAGAAATACACGGGGTGTAATCTTGGTCTGAAGAAAATTGTCTAAGCGAAGATCATGCGAATAGATCAACTATCCTCAAACAACTGGTCAGCCTAACGATCAGATCACTCCTGTCCACCAATACACCCTCATAGCAGTTACCCACGATTCCCATCTCTTCCTCCAGGAAACCATCAAAGTCCACCTCTACACGGTGCCAAACCACCGTGATCACACATCTCACAACTAATCGTCTGCTTATAAAGTCCTTGGGTGGTTTAACGCTTCCTGTAAATTTCTGGAAAGTACCATTGTACCGAAGCGGTAAACTGGTGTCAATAATGCCAACTTAACTGCCAAATATTCTACGAAAAAATCGTTTGTGCGAGGCCAACCCTAACGAAGCTGAC